TCCCAGGAGCTCCCGCCGAGCTATCCCCTGGCAAGCACCAGCATCTCCCTGGGAAGAGACAGTCCTTCCTTCTCGCATCTCCCTCGCTGAGAAGCACCGGGGCCCAGGATGGGGCCAGCGATGCTGTAGGTCCCACGGAGAGGGGCAAAAGCCCTGAATTAGTCCTCAGCCTCGAAACGAAGGGACAGGCTGCCCCGGAGGAAGAGCCGAAATACGAGAATGTGATCAGCGGCAGTGCCGATTCACCCCCCAGCCCCGCCAAGGAGCCACCGGCCGCCCCTGTGGCCACCTGAGCCACCACCGCCCGGGCTGGGGCAGCGGGAGCCCAGGAGGCCCCTCCGACCCCAGTGCAGGGGGAGCCGAGGTCGCCCTCCGAGCTGTGAACTGGAGAAGCATCGAGCCTTTCCATTGACCCCCCCTTCCTCTACGCCACGTTGCTGGTGTGGACCCTCGCTGGCCGGCACAGCCGGCAGGACGGGTGATGTCGAGAGCCGCAGTGGTGGGTGGCAGCCCCATGGGGTTGCGGTGCTTCAGGGCTGTTTTCTGCTCCCCCCCTGCCCTACGTGCCCCATTCTGCGTCTGCCGCAGCCCGGAGGGACAGCAATGCTCTGGACGCAGTGGTGGCACCTTCTAGTCCCTGTAGGCATTGGGCCTGGGGACACATATCCTCCTCATAAACAGGAGTGGGGCTGCTGGGGGCTCAGCTGGGAAACGCATGGGCAAAAACCAGTTTCACCCCATCAGCTTTCACCTTTCCCTGTCCCAGCTCTCGTAATGCTGCTCGGAGCCTCTTGCTGTAAAGGTGCTTCTTGCTGGAGGGGATTATTTTGTGGAGCTGGGCTGGGGAGATGATGGGCTGTCACGAGCAGCTTCAGTGAAAATTAATTTTAGCTGCTTATCTCAAAGGGTATCTGGGTCTGCAGGGGTTTATCTGTGTGGCTCTGGCTTTTGTGGCAGGCTCTGGCTGCCTTCATTTCTACGTACAGGCGTGGCACATGAAAAGGCTCATGGCACGGCACGGGGTTCATCGACGGCCTTTTAAACTCCACGCGATACCAAGCTGCAATTGTGCAATAGCAAACGTGGCAGCTGGGCTGTGACCATCAACCTGTGCACCCGGCGCTGTGCTGGGCCTGATAAGGACGAAAGCTGCACGGAAAATGGCATTTCCGCGGGTGCCCTAAGCTCCTGCCGTCTCCCCGGTATCATTACTGCTGCA